TATTGTAATACCATTCAAAAAATATCTGTCAGTGCTTACCATATTCTATACATTATTGTAGGTACCTTTAATTAGCAAGAAGAAAAATTGAAAGGTCCCTGTCCTATGAAACTTAGCTTTCTAAATTAAAGATATAAAATTTCCAAATTGATTTTTTTGATAGTAAGGAATGGGTATATACAGTACAGTGGCTCCCAATAAATAAATAGTGACAGAACTTAAATTTACTGGATGGGGCCTGGCCAAGAGCTTTCCCAACTTCTCTAATTTCTTTTGTCTCAACAAGCTGAAGAGGTAAATAGCGTTATTAATCCCACTAGGCTCTGAGAAGTAATGTAACTTCCCAAAATAATTGGCAAGAGTTGGTGCTGGTTTTGACACACCATTTGGCCAAAGAACCTTGTACATCCTACACTATTACTGCAGCTAGAGGGTGGAGTCTAGATTTGGCAATTTATGTTGAACTTCTGTTTTCAGGCTGGTGGGTTCTGGGATACATACTGTGATGGGATTCAGCCGGTTCTGTAGAACCGATAACCTAAATTTTTTTGTTGGGTTTGGTGAACAAGTTGTTAAAATGGCACTTGTAATCAGGGTTCTCCTTTCAGGTGGGTGGGCCCAATGTGGAAATCACAAGTTTACATCCCTTACTCTTTGTTTAATGTTCATCTGCACAACAACATATTCTAAGTGCCTGTAGTAATGTTCATCTGTCCATAGGTTTAAAAATTTAAACTATGCTGGTAAAATAAAAGCAAAGAATATTGCAAGTGAGTGTGCCAATCAAGAAGCAATATCGAACATTGTAAATAGTTTTATTGTTTTTTGACTGGTACTAGTTAATATTTTTTCATTCATAATTTAACATTTTCTTAAAAGTTTGTGTACCTCTTTTATTCAGTATTAACTGTATGAAATAAACTGCCTTTTGTATATTGCTTTCTTATACTTAAAAATGAACTGGTTGGTAAATGATTTGAATCCCACCACTGGATACACCCCCAAGTTCACGATATGCAAGCATGTAGAGAAGCCCCAGAAAGGGCCTCCATGCACTCGGGGTGAGTATCACCCTCTGAAAGATGACAGCTGCCATCTACAGAAGCTTGTCACTCTGAGAAGTGAGGGAGAAGCCTAAAGAGTCAAAATTCAGGTGCTCGGATTATCCAAGCCACGTCTACTGGCCACCTCCCCTATCCCAAGCAGAGCTCCCGCAGGCTGTGCCTGGTGGGTGGGAGGAGGGCTGGAAAATGGCAGGATTTAAGAGGAAGTACTGTGACAGGATTTAGGGATTGATTGGTACGATGACCCAACTCAGCTTCAACAGACTCCCAGTCTGGCAGAGAGGGAGAATCGGGTCGTGGTGTGACCTGACTCCGGTGGGGCAAAAGCTTTCCCCGGATCATAAACAAATTCACTGTCATTGTGACTCAGAGTGACTTCATGGGACAGAGTAGAACTGCCCCCGTGGGGTTTTGGAGACTGGAACAGGATTCTACAAACTAACTGGAGAAAGATGGGGCTCCAACGGGGCGGAGGCGGACTTCAGCTTTAAAAAAAATAATTTGCTTCCACTTGTAAGGAGCCCTGGTGGTGTAGTGATTATGCATCCACATGGTCGGCAGGCAGGCAGTTCGAAACCACCAGCAGCTTCGCGGGACAAAGACTGGGCTTTCTACTGTAAAGAGTTGGTCTCAAAAAAAAA